CGAGAGAGGGAACACAAGCAGGGGGAGTGGGAGAGGGAGAAGCAGGCTTCCCGCCGAGCAGGGAGCCCGATGCAGGGCTCGATCCCAGGACCCTGGGTTCATGACCTGAGCCGAAGGCAGACGCTTAACGACTGAGCCACCCAGGCGCCCCTACAGTCAATTTTTATTATGTGTGGTAATTGTTATATAAAGTCACCACAAACAATGAATTAGTGAATACTGAACCACTGCTCCTAGGGAATACACAGGGCTAGGTTCCTGAAAGCCCTGATCACATTTTCATCAACTAATCACTATGTAACCTTGTTTTAGATACATTTCTGTTCAAGGACACCTTATTTAATATATAATTTATGTATTACTTAATAATAATTTTAATTTAATAATATAATTTATTAACATTGACCTCACAGCCAATAGCATTAATTCATGTCTGAACAAAACTGAATACATACATATTTTTTCTCCATTAGGTACATCACAACACTAGACAGAGCTTCAGCACTATGGCTGGGGGCTATTTAACACTGAGATCACCAACAAAAAGCACAAAAATGCAAAAAACATGGCACTAAATAGAGCACAAAAGAGGACATGTCATTACAGTATGAGAGCTGAAAACAAGAAGGCAAGAGTCACCTTGTGTGAAAGTGCGAGTCAGAAGACTCAAATTTTTCACCACTCGGCGCATGTCCATAAATAACCATGAAACTGTTGTAATGATTTTGGACTTACAGATAAATGAGATAGCAGACATTCACAAACACAGAATGTGCAAACAACGAGAATTGACAGTACAAAGAAAGCCTAATTAAATAAATCTCATGGGAAATATTTGAGTACTTCAATCCAGTCAATTTTATAAATACAAGGGTTTACTTACTGGTCATCAAGGATGGGAAAAACTTTATAGCATTGTTTTTAAATTATCACACAAAAACACCAGATTGAAGCAATTTATGTTTCCAGATAAAGAATAAAGATGGAAAAATTTATTTAAAATTTACTGCCAAGGGACGCCTGGGTGGCTCAGTTGGTTAAGCGTCTGCCTTCAGCTCAGGTCATGATTCCAGGGTTCTGGGATCGAGTCCTGCATTGGGCTCCTTGCTCAGTGGGGAGCCTGCTTCTCCCTTCTCCCTTCTCCCTCTATGCTCTCTCTCTGTCTCAAGTAAATAAACAAAATCTTTAAAAAAAAAAAAAAAAGGCAGTAAGATACAAAATGTAAATTATGATAGAAAAAGGCATGAAAAGACTATCAGTGTAGACAATTAGAAATTAACACAACAAATATATTCAAGCAAAGTACCTCAGTGAAATAAAAATGAACTTAAAATTCTCTCAATTCTAATTTATTTAAACTATTATCCAGTACAACTATAATTTGTGTCCAGTTTGCATTTCTACTCTTTATAACAAAATTTAGATACATATGTAAACATCATCTATCACACTGGTACCTGAAATTTATATTACTGAAAATGAAAACAGCAAGATACATTAATTAAGACCAGAAGAGAATTTGAGAACTGGGAATCAAATCAAATAAAAGCCACCAACATTTTTTTCCTTTTAAATTTCAGATGATATTCACTATAGCACAGTTTTTGGCAGCAAAAAACTAGAAAAATCTGTCTTTTAACAGAGGACTTATTTAAATCATGGAATAGTATATAGTTTTTTAATAAGAAATGAGCTAGAATGTGTGTGTGTGTGTATATATATATGCATCTGCTCACATACTGTATGTGTGTATACATGGCCTTCAATTAAAAATGTGAAACAAGACAGACGAGAGATGTCTATATTAGGGGAAAAAAAGGCAAGTCACAGAACACGGTGTAAAGTATGATTCCTTCTTGAAAAACAAGAAATGTAACTTGTTTATATATGCATACACACTGAACCACTAATGAGGAAGGGACTTTGACACTTTCATTTTTTATAATGAGCATGTATAAGTTTTATAAGCATACAATAGGTTCTTGACAAGTGTTAGATTACCTTGTTATAGTTATTTTTAAAATAAAATAATGCGATATAAAATTCATGTTGTTTGAAAATGATTCCTATAAACTTATTCAGGTAAATCCTGTTAAATATAATTAAAAACAAACATTTCCCAATTCAAAGAATTTCAGTATGTTCTCAAAATTTAACACTAACCAATCCCCCCAAGCTGAAATGTTTATTGATTTATAACAAGGGTCAGCAAACTTTTTCTGTAAATGTCAGACAGTAAATATTTTAGGTTTTGCAGACAAACATGGTCTCTGCTACATATTATTCTTTTTGTTCCTGTCTTTGGTTTTTTTAACAACCCTTTGGGAATATAAAACACACACACACAGACACACACACACACATATATTAGCTTATTAGATCCACAAAAAACAGACCACAGGCTGAATTTGCCTTGCTGGCCACAGCTTGTCAACCACTAATTTATGACAATAAACCAGCAACTGGACATCTGATATCTTAAATATATTATGACAAAGGTATCAGAAATCACAACAGTTTTATTCTACGTTAAATAAAGCAAGGTAGTATTGGAGAAATTAAAATTACAGGTCAATTAATACACTGAATTCTATTAATATGTTAGACATTAATCAAACAATGATAAAACACAGCAAATAAAATTTTAAGTATTCATATTATAAAACCATGATCATGTGTGCACCTGCAAAGCACACATATCCACTTGAAAAAGTAAGCTGAAACTGAAATACTACACATCAAAGCTTAAATCTCCTTTTATAATAATTAAGACCATTTATTCATTCAAATAATCAAAACTAGCCAGTCATTTGTTTTATATGTCATCAACCCTTGAAAATTAAGAATTGAATTCAGAGGCTGGTAGTATTACTAGGTTTTTTTTAATTTGTAAGGGTTATTATAGAATATTAATCAACAATCTAAAACATTACACTTTAAAAGTTTATATTCTGGGAAACTTTTTAATATTTACTGTGTCAGCAACCATCACTGGAAACGTGACTATACTTTTTTTCTTTGCCTAAAAGATAGCTTTTATATATTTGATTTTGTTTAAAACTGAAAGATCCTTATTGTAATCTGAATGCTACTACCAAAGGAAAATCCCATTATGAATAATAAACTGGGTCAAATTGAAACTCTAAAATGAAAATGTATCTCCCCACCCCCACCCCAAGTAACCAAATAACCATTATAGAATAATCTTACCTAGACTGGTGGGTTTTATCAGTTCATCCAGTAAATCATAAAATGGTAATTTTTGAAGTTTTATATCCGGATGGACTGGGTGAAGAGCTGATGTAAGATGTGGAAGTTCCAGTTCATGTTTAGGTCCCAGAAGAGAAACAGGGAGTAACGGTGATGATGCAGGGTGACCATCGTAAGTGAGTTGTGGAATGGTAGATGGAGACAGAGTTGCTGGCATAGGACTTGAATGGACATTGGGGATGGACAAGTCCGCGGGCGTCATGATTTTCTGGGGGAACCTCCGCCGATAGAGTTCTTTAATTTTCATTTGTACAGCAGGACTGCAGCCAGCCTTTAGCAAATGCAGGGCTTTTGTGAGAAGTTCGTGTTTGCGTCCGTGCTTGTTTCTCCCAGCGTAGCCCAACAGTACTTGGAGTTCAGAAACTCTAAGGCTCATAACCATTTGCTTAGAGACAAAACAAAATGTAAAACGTTAGTATTCCAATAGTATAATTTACAACATTAAACAATACCTTATTCTAACCCTTTCCCCTCATGGTTTATTTTAACAGCCAGCTCAGTTATAATCAGTTCTAGTTATTTCCAACTTAAAATAAGTAGCCAAAAAAATGTAAAAATTAATACTCATAAATTCAGTGACTTCTACCCAAGGTTATGAAAGATGTAAGATGAAGTATACACCAGGTAGAACCACATCTCACCTCATTCCACTGTTTCGATGCAACTGTCAGCTATTCATCAAGCACTTACTGAGTCTTCAGGAGAGTGCTGAGTGCTATGTGGATGGCAAAATATTAGGATGAGCCCTCAAGAACATTTGTTTTCTTGGGGGGAAAAGTATATAACTATACATGAAACACATAAATGCCCACCTCAAACACCAGATGCAGCAGGGTATAAATAACATACTACCAGGTATTACATTCTATGCTGACCCTGGAATTTGTAGGACTTAAAAACTATATATCCTTTCTGACCCAGTATTTACCAGATATACTTGGTATTTTCATATGGGTGTCACTAAATCTTTATTATTTCCACAAGGTGTTATCTCCTTCCTTCTTTACACATGAAGAAACTATGTAGTTAAGAAAGGTCAAATAACTTACCTAAGGCCACATAGCTACTATGTAGCAGTCAGGATTCAAACCCAGATATGTATGATTCTAAAGCCCACTCTCTTTTCACTAAACCTTTAGGAAAAGGACAGAGCTGGAAACATAATACTGACTCACTCCACTGGCAAGGCCAGGCTAAAAAGTCCAGGAATTCAATCCACATGCCATAATGTGGAAGGTTGTAATAAAGAAATCTATTTAACTTTAACTCTTTGTTCCCAAACTTGTTTGGTCGCTGTTTCTCCTTTTTCTCCAATTACTAAGAGACCACCAACAGGAAATGCCCAACTATACCAATCCTCTCATTTTAAAGTGGAAGAAAATGGAATCCAGAGAGAAGAAATGGCTTACCCAAGATCAGACAGTATTAACACCAGAATCCTGACTTGATCACCACTGACAGGGAGGTATTAGGGTAGAAGACACAGGTAAGCTTACCACTGGCTCTCTATTTCCCCAACTGTTTTATCCCCTCACCTCAGACCTAATAGCAATACACAAAAGATAAACTGCCTTCCCTAATTCACTGCCACTCCCTGAGAGGCCACCCTACCCTAGTCAATCCTCTGGAAGCTATTTAAACAGCGCAAAACAATTAAGTAAAAAAAATCGAATAGTGAGAAAACAGTATATAAAGAGCCTTATATATAATATAGCTGGTTATCAAACATATATTAACCCTTCCCCTACTTCTCTGGCCTGAAAAATACTTTGTTTCCTCAAATTCTAGCTTTTGTCAGCCTTAGTCCATTAGGCCTGAAACATTAATGACTCTTTTCTATTTTTACTAGCCATTTTGCGTATCTTTATTTAGCACTTGTCTTGCTTTTTTATAATTTTCTATTTGTACAAGTGATTCCATGACCAGTTTGAGGTTCTCCAGGGCACAAGCCAATGTCACCCTCAGCATCCAACACTAGGGTCTGACAACAGTAGAAACACATCAAATGCCTGGACAATGAATAAATAAATGAATGAAAGAACGAAATAAATAAGAAAGTCACACCAGAAGAAAGGGTAGGGTGGAATCTACAATGGTAAATTATACATACAACTATAATATAAATGCAAATAAACCCCCAAACTCTTACATTCAATAGAAGGCACACAAAGAAATACTACAGGCCTTACAAATAAAGCCTACCCCAAATCCTATAAATGCTTCTCTTTTTTAGATATGATCAGAGATTAATTACTAACTATAGTGTCAGCAAGCTATCAATTTCTCCCGACTATCCAAAATGTCCTAAGAGTACAAAACAGTTTTAAAGATTTTTATTACTTATTTTACAAGGAACTGGGACTTCAACCAAAAAGTGCTATATTAATAAGTAAGCTTCTGCTTTTGGAGAAATAACAGAAATTATGCTTCAAAGATTATTGGTTAAAAATAAATTTAGGTTGGCATTGGTCAAATGCACTTCATTTTACAGAGAAAGTAGTATAAATTTTAGAAAGAGAACGTCTTCCTACTTCAACTGCATTCTCCTAGGTCAAACACAAATAAACCTGAATTCAGTGATTACCACAGGCCTTTCACTGATGACAGTTTTTGTCCTTACTCTATGGGTATTAAGGATTTAAATGCAGCACAGATGTATTATTGTTTTACTTATATGGAAGTACACATTGGCAATTCACATAAAATAAAATCTCTTGCGTGATGGTCAAAAGAAAAAAGATGACATAAGTTTTTTTACAGGATGTGTAATTAACCATCAAAATTATGAGGCAGGTACTGTCCTCATTTTACAGATAGGAAAACTGAGGCCTAAGCAGGTTAAGAAATTTGTTGAATATTATACAACTACTCCAAATATTATGCTCTTAAACTATGATACTGTCTCTTAGAGAAAACAAATCACATGCCTTTCAATTAGGAAAGAGAAAAACCTTTTAAAAGACTAATTGATTTAATATTCAATCTCCATTTCAAGCTTCAATATTTTGGCTTTAAAAAAATTGGCTCAGGGGCGCCTGGGTGGCTCAGTTGGTTAAGCGACTGCCTTCAGCTCACGTCGTGATCCTGGAGTCCCGGGATCGAGTCCCACATCAGGCTCCTTGCTCGGCGGGGAGTCTGCTGCTCCCTCTGCCCTTCCCCCCTCTCATGCTCTCTCTCTCTCTAATAAATAAATAAATAAATCTTAAAAAAAAAAATTGGTGGTTCAGATAAGAAAAGAATGCATCTGGATTCAAATTAACCACTGCACCTTAAAATCAGGTTTAGTGAAAGATGGGGTACTATCCACCGCTATTATTGGAGCAGCTGCTGCATACTCTTAAGGACTGTAATAAGCATACAGTATTTTTAAAAACTAAATAAAAGGGGGCTGGAAACACAAACATCTGACGCATCACTCAACCGAAAAGCTTCAGAGAAGCATGGAGCAGTCAATTCACACTGCAAAGTGTTGACAACACAGAGGAAAACTAAACCCTTACATCTGAGATGTTGAAATGCAATATATTTTAATCTGTCATGTGTTTAAAAATCTCCATTTGTGGGGCGCCTGGGTGGCTCAGTCGGTTAAGCGACTGCCTTCGGCTCAGGTCATGATCCCAGGGAGCATCGGGCTCCCTGCTCTGCGGGGAGCCTGCTTCTCCCTCTCCCACTCCCCCTGCTTGTGTTCCCTCTCTCGCTGTGTCTCTGTCAAATAAATAAATAAA